ACACACACACACACACACACACACACACACACACACACACAACAAGCCGAACGATGTTCTCCTGCTGCCGCCGCTCCTCATCCACCGCTCGCGACCCAGAGCCAGCCGAAGCACGACAGAAAGGAGGCGAGCTCGCCGCTTCAACGGCCGCTGTTGACGTGGTGAATGAGACACCAGTATCAAGCACCGCGAAGCCACAACAGCAGCCTACCAGCGAAGAAGGACAGCGAGGCGACGATGGCGAAGACGCAAAGGGCGTGACACAACACCAAGCACACCCAGCACCGACCACTTCGACTACTGTTTCTGCCGAGGACGAACATGCGATCCGCAAGGAAGGCGTGTCGCCTGCTGGGCTGCGCCAGTTCCTTGCCGATCTCAAGGCCGCACACCCAGACACGTACCAGAAGATGACCACCAAAGAGGCGTGCGACAGCGTGGTGATCCCACGCACCAAGGCGAAGCAGTGTGCGTATGTCGACGTCATGGATTCACAGCACGTGGGCAGGAAGGCGACCGTGTTTGTGTCGCACGCGTGGCGCTACAAGATCGTGGACGTGATTGGCACCCTCCTGGAGTTTGCAGGCGAGCAAGGCGAGGACGACGGCGAAGACAAAGCGCAAGTGTTCTTCTGGTTCGATCTCTTCATCAACAACCAGAATACGGACATCACAGCCAACCTTCCTCAAGAGTGGTATGGAGCTTGTGTCTGTACCTGTGTGTGTGCGTTTGTGTGTGTGTGTGTGCGTTTGTGTGTGTGTGTGTGTGTGTGTACGTGTGTGTGTGTGTGTGCGTTCGTGTGTGCGTGTATACATGTGTGTCTGTGTGTGTTCGTTGTTCACTTCCACCTGTCACCTCTGCAACCCATGCCCTCAACCTCCCGTCCTTGCCCCCCCCCCCCACACACACACACACTGCAGGTGGAGCACGACGTTCAAGGAGTCCATTGCTGCGATCGGCCACGTGCTGCTGGTGTTGACACCGTGGCACGACCCCGTGCCGCTGACACGGGCATGGTGCCTGTGGGAGATCTTCTGCAGCGCAAGTCAGGAAGACGTGCAGCTCACCATCCGGCTGCCGAACGCAGAGCGAGACGCGCTGAAGGAGGCTGTGCTGGAGACCTTCGAGGCCGTAACAGACGCAATGGTGCGCGTGCAGGCCGAGCGGGCAGACGCCTGGGACCCCAAGGACAAGGAGATGATCTTCAAGGCGATTGAGGACGGCGTTGGCTTCCTACACTTGAACAAGGTGGTCAAGGACCAGATGCGGAACTGGTGCTTCTCAGAGATGCTCTCCTTTGTGGAGCCAGCTGATGACGAGCAGGTTGATACGCCCCAGTTTGCGCGCCTCTGCTACAACGTTGGTGTGTCTCTCAAAACTGCTGGTCGTTACGACCACGCATTGTCTTTGTTTGAGCGGTCCCTGAACATCTACCTGGAGCGACACGGGCCAGAGCACGCAAACGTTGCGGGCGTATATGACGCCATGGCTCAGGTGTATGAGAGCAAGGGCGAGCATGACCGCGCCCAGGAGTACTTCCAAAAGAGCCTGCAGATTGCACTGGACACGTTGGGGGAGGAGCATCCTTCCACAGCAGGCACATACGGCAAGCTTGGCGGAGTGTATGAGAGCAACGGCGAATATGACCGCGCCATCGAGTACTACCAGAAGAGCCTGAAGATACAGCTGGACACGCTGGGGGAGAAGCATCTCGACATAGCAACCACATACAACGGCCTGGGTCAGGTGTACAGCAGCAAGGGCGAGTATGACCGCGCCATCCACTACTACCACAAGTGCCTGCAGACCTACCTTGAGACGCTGGGGAAGAAGCATCCGTACACAGCAACCGCATACAACAACCTGGGCCTCGTGTACAAGAGCAAAGGCGAGCATGACCACGCCGTGGAGTACTTCCAACAGAGCCTGCAGATCAAGCTCGACACATTGGGGGAGGAGCATCCGTCCACAGCAGGCACCTACAACAATTTGGGCCAGATGCACTACAGCAAGGGCGAGTACGACCGTGCCATCCACCACTACCACAAGTGTCTACAGATTTACCTTGGCACGTTGGGAGAGAAGCATCCATCCACAGCAACTACATTCAACGTCCTGGGTCAAGTGCACAACAGCAAGGGTGAGTATGACCGTGCTCTGGAGTACTACCAGAAGTGCCTGCAGATCGACCTGGACACGTTGGGGGAGGAGCATCCATCTACAGCAAACACGTATAACAGCCTGGGCCAGGTGTACAAGAACCAGGGTGAGTATGGCCGCGCGCTGGAGTGCTACCAGAAAGATTTGAAGATTACACTGGACACGCTGGGGGAGAAGCATCCAGACACAGCAACCACATACCATGACCTGGGCCAGGTGTACAACAGCAAGGGCGAGTATGACCGTGCAAAACAGCTGTTTCAACAAGCTGTCGACATCTGGATGGACACACTTGGCCCGGACCACCCACGCACCAAGATGGGGGTGCGGTGGCTCGATTCGTTGCACGAGTAACAACGAGAAAGCCTGTGTTTGACAGCACAGGTCGCGCCCAGTTTCAGCGTGTGTTGCTCGATTGCTGGCTCTGCGTTCTCAGACTTTGCCTGGTCCTGCATCAGTGCATCGTGTCATGGCACTCTTCTTCTTTGCAATGGTTCTTTGTTGTTGTCAGTTGTTCTCGTTAACTTCGGCGCTCTCCAGAAAACACTTGCATGACGACATTACATGATGTGACTGCTTATTGCATTACCGCATGCACATCTACACAACGACACCAACAAGACCAACTACACACGCACACCCTAACACACACTCGCATCACTTCGAAAAGCGTTGCTGCAGGCAGTACGCAAAGGAGAACGTGGACGTGGAGGACTTGTTGTGGGCGTGACACAAGAGAACGCGCGAAGTGGAGGGTGTGTGCTGTATTTCTGACACAACAGCCAATTAATTGTCGCATTCAAGGGTTGGAACAAACCCACTGCACACACACACACACACACATACACACACACACACACACACACACACACACACACCGCAGTTGCCACAATGAGCGACACTGTGAGCGTGAGCGAATGGGCCCTCATCGCGGAGCAGCTGTTCGCAATGTTGCCAGTGCAAGGCGATGCTGTGACATTGATGTCAGCGATGCACGCACGATGCACGCGACGTGACGGCGTCCGGGCGTTTTGCAACCTGATGATGACCTGCCGCGAGCTGTACCTCGACTTGCCGTGGGCAATGCCCAAGTGGTGCCTGTCAGACGTGCTGCTGACAGAGACTGCATACAACACGTTCATCTCACGGGCCGCTTGCCAGCGCATGCTCATCGTGGACTGGATGGACACGTTTCAGCCAGCCCTTGTCCGCGTGGAGGAAGAGGAGGAGGAGGACGAGGACGACGACGACGAAGACACGTCCGCCGGAGGCACCTCAACCACAACCGTATCCCGCGAGGTGTGGCTGGAGAACCGCTTTCTCGCGTACACCTGGCTTGGCGTCACATGGGACAGCAGATGCCCCTTCCTGCAGGCCAAGCTGATGACAACTCCGCGCACGGCAGGAGGATTCTGGTCAACGTTTGCTCGGTGCGGACGCGTGCATTTCGCGAAGCTGTCCGCCATGGACGCATGGGCTACTGCATCGCACGATGAGCAGATGGAGGAAGAGGCCGTGGAGGAGGGGCAAGCAGCGGAGGGGATGGAGGACACTCGCGATATGAACACAGCTCCACCAGAACAACACAAGCACCAGCAGCAAGAGCAGCAGTACCAGCAGCAGCACCAGCAGCAGCCACGAAGGCCAGCAGTGTTCTCGCTGGTGGCTACACTGCACAATCAACAGCAGGTTGATCGGTGGAGTGCGTTGCGCGACACAACCTTGGCTGGTGTGCAGGGCAGCCGTGTGGACCTTACCGTGACCGCAGGCCTGTCTTCGCTGGCCGCACGTGATGTGAACAAGCTGTACCTCTCCACGCTCGAGGCTGCCGTTGACCAAGTCTCGTTCGAGAAGGTGGCCCACGTCAACTGGATGACGCACGAGACACAACGCAGCATACGCGGCACATTTGCGGGCGTGGAACGGCTTGTCCTGAACAATGCAGCATCGGTAAATGACATTAGCGTGCTTGCAGGCATCCCCGCCATCACCTTGTCGTGGTACAGCTGTCCTCATCAGCCTGTGGACCTGGCGTCACCAGCAGGCGTTGACCTTTCGCCACTGTCGAGCATCAAGGAGTTGTCTCTCATCAGAGTGCGGTTTGCCAATGAGCAGCAAGCGTTCGCAACAGCACAACAACTTAAGCTCTCACGCGTTGCGCTCAGATGTGACACGCTGCAGGCCGCCAACGTCAAGCTGCACTCCCTTCTAACAGCGCCAGATGTGCTGCACCTCCCAAACGCCACCCACATTGAGTTGGTGTCGACCTTCCGTGTGAAGCGCGTCACGTGCCCAGCCCGCATCGACACGCTCATCATTGACGATTTCTCACACACGCCGCCAGCCATTCCAGAGTTTGAGCACGCGCATAAGGTGGACCTCAATCTGAACACGCCGCTGACACGGGAGCAGCTCGCAGACCTGGGCCGGCGCGTCGACAGCCTCGTGCTTCGTGGCACGACTGTTGCGCACATGGCTGATTTGCAGGACATCCCTGACGATGTCCATGTGCAGCTGATGAGCGTGTGCGTTGACGGGCCCGTGCCGACGTGCGTCAATGCTTTGGAGGTGTACCTGGAGGGGATTGACGGCTACCGCGGCGCTTGGATGAGCAATGTGCCCAACTTGCTCTTGCCTGGTCTGCTGCAGCACCGGCGCGTGCATGACCTGCATCTGTTGTCTGGGCGCAAGCTGTTGCACCTGAGTGAGTGCAACTTTGCCGGCGAGCTCTCTCGCTGTGATCGCCTCGACCTCTCCTTGTGCTCAGGATCCGTCTCAGTGTCACGCATCGAGTCGCTGATCATCGAAAAGGCAATACTGGGCTTATCATGCAGCGCGACAGCGGATGGGAGTGGCGCTGGACGCAAGACCATGGCTCGTGCACGCGAGCAGCTTGTAGTGACGGGCGTGCGCGACGTTGCACACTGCCGGCTGCAGCACTGCAGCATCGAGGCGTTTGCGGGGTGCATCGAGCACGTGCAGCGGCTCATCCTGTCGCGGTGTACCTTTGACAGCGTGGACGACCTCCCGTCTGTTGGATCACTGGTGCTGCGGGAGTGCACGACGGAAGACAAGGCGTGGCGGTGGCCAGACGTCGTGATGACTGGCCGCACACCAGCAGAGATGGCGCACGTCCTCATGCAGGGGAAGGAGAGATGTGAGCCGCGCTACTGGAGTTGGTGATGGATGTGTGTGTGTGTGTGTGTGGTGGGGGTGGGGGATGTGTGAAGGGGGCATGTGTGTGTGTGTGTGTGTGTGTGTGTGTGTGTGGTAGTGGAGCTCGGATGTTTGTCCCTGTGCTTGTATACACCCTCCTTGCGTTCCGTTTCATTCGCTTTGCCCCCCCCCCCCTCCCTCGCTAACATTTCTCATGGGCTTACCCCTCCTTCTCCTTTCATCTATGCCTGCGTTTTGCTGTTCGCGTTACTATCTCTCGTTCACTCCCAATCCAAAATGCACCGTAAGCTGTCAACTCACATGCTTAAGGAACATCAACAGAAGAAGCGTGGCAAAGAACCAGTCACGCTATCTGTGAAATACACACACACACACACGCATACACATACACACAACACAATCCCCCTCATATCTTGTGCCTCCTCCAGCGCCTCTTGTCTCTGCCCCACCCCATTTACTCGCGCCCCATGCCTCCCACTTCTCCAGTCAGCAGCCCGGGTCGATGACGAGCACGTGCTGTGCGTCAAAGGGGATGGCGTAGACGGCGCCGTTGTCGGCGACGACACCGTCCCACCAGCGGAATTCGGACGGGTCGAGGCCGTCCAGTTGGCCAAGTGCGATGCGTTCGCTCGACTGGGTTGCTGGGTCGATGACAAGAAGAGCGGACGAAGAGTAGGGAATGCCGATGACGCGGCCGTCTGTGGTGCGCACGCCGCCAATCCACTTGTTGCTGCCAGAGAAGCCGTCGATGGAGGTGATGTCGGTGGTGTTGGCTGTGGGGTCGATGATAAGCACGTTCTTGATGCCTGCAGGGATGCTGTAGATGAGGCCCGAGGGTGCGAGGACGCCGCCCAGCCACTTGAAGCTCTGTTGAGGGAGGCCGGCGATGACGGTGACGTCGGTGTTGTTGGTGGCCGTGTCGATGATGAGCACGGCCTCTGCGTCGCGCGGGATGCAGAAGATTTTGGTGCTCGTGGTGTCGGGGACGACGCCGCCATACCACTTGAACCCACCCAGCCCCGAGCCGGTCAGGCCAGACAGCGCGTCTGTATCTGAGGCTTTGGTGTCCGGGTTGATGATGAGGACGGAGGGTGCCGTGAATGGGATGCCGTAGATGAGGCCGTTGTTGCCGAGAACGGCGCTGCCCCATTTGGCCTGGTTGGGGCTGAACCCTTGCACGGTGACAGGGTCAGCGGTGTTTGCTTCTGGGTTAATGATGAAGGCGGACCGGGCATCGTGTGGCATGCCGAATATCAAGCCGTTGCCCGCAAGCACCCCACCGGACCACTTGCTTCCGCCAAAGAGGGTTGGAATGGTGCTGAGATCGATGGTGTTCGTGGCTGGGTCGATGATAAGGACGAACTCGGCCGAGAACGGGATGCCGTAGATGAGGCCGTTATTAGCCAAGACGCCGCCAGCCCACTTGCTGGAGACGCTGCCCGCACCCGCAATCAAGCTGGCGCTCAGTGGATACCTGCGACACAGCAATGCACGCAGCGCCTTACTTTCGTCCTGCAGCTCCGCCAGCTGGCTCGCCTGCGATTCAATCACATCCTGCTGTGCAGCTAGCAAGGCGGACACGTCCATGCCGTTGAGGTACACGGGCTGCAGCAGTGGGTCGCTCGTGTTGATATGGAGCGCGCCCGCGTCATCCTCCTCCATCACCGCCGCACCGTCGCACCGCAAAGACAGGAGGGCCAGGAGGAAGAGGACGAGCGAGGCGAGGGCGTGGGTGTGGCAGCGGTGGTGATGCTGGGTGGGGGAGGCGGTTGGTCTTGAAGCAAGCATGATGATGCTGATGGTCGCCCGCATCATCATTCATCGTCGTTGCGGAAGTTTGGTGGAAATCATCAACAAGGTTGTGGGGTAGAGTTTTTATTGCTTCACAGTCAAGGCAAAACGTGAGAAGGGTGTGTGTCGGGCAGAGAGAGTACAGGGACACAAAGACAGGGCAAACAAGCATGCACAAAAGAGAAGCATGGCTAGAGCACAAAAACCACACAGAAGGAACACGCGCACGCAGAGCGTCACGCCCGCGCCTTCTTCCTTTTTTTTTTTTTTTTTTTGGTTTTGGAACGCGGTTTGTTCATTTGCGGCTCTGGTATGCGCGGCGGGAGAGCATGCGGGAGAGGATGCGGCGCGCCTCGCAGTCCGGGAAGTTGGTCATGTCGTAGTAGTGGGGCGCCAGTTCAAGCAGCCAGTCTACAGGGAAGTGAGGGAGGGAGGGGGGTTGCGAGTGAGTTGCGGAAGGAGGAGGGGGGAACGATGAGTGTGGGCTACAGAAATGGCCAACGTCGCATCGTGTGTTGCGGAGAAGAGTTGACACGCATTGACACATAAGGAGAGACAGGGAGGTAGACAGGGAGGTAGACAGGGAGGCAGACAGACAGATCTACAGATAGTTGACAGGCAGGTAGACAGGTGGACAGGCAGGCAGACAGGAAGGTAGACAGGGAGGTAGACAGGTGGACAGACAGGCAGATCGACAGACAGTCGACAGGCAGGTAGACACACAGACAGACACACACAGACACAGACAGACAGACAGACACAGACAGACACAGACAGACAGACAGACAGACAGACACACACACACACACACAGACACACACAGACACACACACACACACCTGGCTTGATCTGGGTGACGGTGCGGATGTAGTTCTTTGATGTGAGGACAAACTCGTGGTAGAGGACCCACTCGGGCTTGTGGTCGAGCGCCGTCGACGGGTGCAGCATCACAACCTGGTTGTCCTTGATCGTCAGGTAATGCCCAGACCGCTCAAGGTGCGCAACCTGCAATGTGCAGATGCGCGTGTGTGCGCATGTGCGTGTGTGTGTGTGTGTGCGTGTGGTGAGCAAGTGTTGGCAGGTTCGTAATTGCACACACACACACACACACACATGAACAAAGGCTTCCACCTACGTAAACAGTCCATTCACACACACACACACACACACGCACACACACCTGCATGAAGAAAGCGTTTGCCATTGCGCGGCGGATGTTGAGGTAGTAGTCCTTGCTGTGGAAGTTGGTGCTCACGCGCTCCAGCCCAAGGCGGTCCATGATGCGCGCAAGCTAAAGGGGGGGGGGGGAGGGGAGAAGAGGGGAGTAGAAGGTGGTGGTGACGGTGTGGTACGTTGACAAACGTGATGTGAGAATGACTGTCGGCACCGACAATTGGTGGTTTTGAAGAAGGTCAGCGAAGGCAACACACAGCACACGACAGACAGACAGACAGACAGACAGACACACAGAGACACACACACACACACACACACAGACACACACACAACACAACACAACACACACACACACACACACAACGACGGCTGCTCCCGTACCTGCTTCCTGACTTCGTCTGCGCTCTTCATGGAACGGTGCTGGATAAAGTTGTCCCAGCACCACTGCGAACTGCCCGAGTTTTGCTTGTACGCGTGATACACGTTTAGCAGCGTCAGGTGGTCCCCGTCCACGTGCGCAAACCTGCGCAGGTGGGTTGTGTCGTGGTGAGAGGCAAGGGGGGGGGGTTGCAATGATACAGGTATAGCGCGGGTACAAGCAAACACATAAAACTGTCCTGACATGCACAGTGCACACGCACACACACGCACACACGCACACACACACACACACACACACACACACACACACACGACACACACACACACACACACACACACACACACACACAATCTTACCTGGCCTTTGCCTCGTCTGCGGCGCGCTTTGCATCGTTGGGGCGGAGGAAGCAGTTTGGAACAGAGAGCATCGCCGCAATGGACAGAATCTCGTTCGAGCACTTGAACCCGACAGACGCAATCAGCTGGGGAAAGTTGAGAGGGGGAGGGGAGGGGAGATGGAGAGGGCGGGATGGTGAGTGCATGGTGAGGTAGACAAGCAGGAGGAGGTGACTTAGAATTGTTGTTGTTGTTGTTGTGTGTGTGTGCGTGCTGTGTAACAAGTGCTGTCCTGTTGCTTCCACCACTCAAAGCTCAGGTCATCCCATTTGACGACGCAATGTCATGCCACGTCGTGTGGCTGCGGCGCCTCACCATCTTAGAGAGCTGCGGGTCAAGCGGGAATTCGGACATCTTCGCCCCGAGATCCGTCAGCTCGCTGGTGGTGGTGGTCGTGGGGGTGGTGGTGGAACATGGAGGAGAGAGGAGGAGGGGGAGGAAGAGGAGGAGAAGGAAGGGTTGAGCATGACGTGTGTGGATGTGTGTGTGTGTGTGTGTGTGTGTGTGTGTGTGTGTGTGTGTGTGTGTGTGTGTGTGTGTTGGGGGGTGGGGTGTTTTGTTGTCGGGTCGTGAGCAGAAGGATTCACACATCCACAACATAACAAAGCAACATATCACTTTCACACACACGTAAACGTACACACACCAAAACACACACCACAACATTCATCCACAGCACCATGCCGGCGCGCGCTCACCCCTCGTCGTCGAGGGCGCCGAGGTAGTTGAGGAGTTCGAGTGCGCGCATGAGCGTTTCAGGCGCCGGCGGGTCCATAAAGTCAAAATGCACCAAATCGTCAATGCCAAGTTTCTTCAGCTGCAGAATCACAGAGCTCAGGTTCGACCTACGTGCGCGGTTGTTGGGAGTGAGTGAGTGCGTGTGTGTGTGTGTGTGTGTGTGTGTGTGTGTGTGGCTTGGTGGCTGCAGACCCAACAACAACAGCAACAACAACAGCAGCCATCACCACCCCCAACCATCAGCACCGGCACCTGAGAATCTCTGGGTATGTGTTCTCCTGCATCTCGGAGCGAAACGCCTTCTCCGTGTACAGCCGGAACGCCTTGCCCTCCCGCGTACGCCCTGAGAGCAGCAGCGGCAGCAGCGGTGTAGCATACACATGCGTGCGTGTGGGAGCGTGTTTTAGTGGGTATGCGTGTGTGCGTGTGTGCGTGTGTGTGTATGTGTGTTTGAGTGAGTGAGTGTGTGTGTGTGTGAGTGAGCGAGTGAGTGTGAGTGTGTGTGTGTGTGTGTGTGTGCTCATTTGCAAGAGCAGTGAGAATGCACCACCACCACCATCACCGCCATCATAACCACCACCGCGTTGGCTCACCGGCACGGCCTGCGCGCTGCTGTGCGCTGGCCTTGGAGATGGCCGTCACCAGCAGCGACTCCACGCGCACGCGCGGGTTGTACACCTGTGGAAATAAAGGGGAGGAAGGGGGTGCAGGATAGAGATAGGGAGGAGGTGGTGGTGGAGGGTTGGACGGCGGTGGGGAGGGGAGGGGCGGCAGAAACAAGGGGAGGCAGAAACAAGGGGAGGCAAGGGATAACGGGAGGAGAAGGACGAGGGGATGAGATGTGGAGACAAAAGTTGGTGAGGCATTCCTCACATCAGGCAGAGCACAGACAAGAGCTTTCCTGACTCCCACGCCCATTGCGCATGAAAAACATCTCCTTCCAACACGCTTCTTCGCTGTGCGTCAGCCGTCCGAGACCACCCCGACCACCACCATCACCACCACCACCACGCTGACGACAACGACAACAATGGTGACAACAACGACCCCGACCACCACCACCACCACCACCACCACGCTGACGACAACGACAACGATGATGAAGACGACGACCACCACCACCACCCCTCTCCACGCGCGCCCGGTCGCACCTTCTGCTTTGAGAAGCCCGGGTCGATGACATACACAATTCCGTCAATGGTGATGGACGTCTCGGCAATGTTTGTCGACACGACAACCTTCCGCCCAACGGCGCCTGAAGTGTGGACAAGAAGGGGAGGGGGTTGGAGAGGGGGGGGGGTGTTGTTGCGAGGTTGCATGAGTTGAGCATAGTGTGTGTGTATGTATGTGTATGCGTTTGTGCATGCGTGTGTGTGCATGTGCGCGTGTATGTTCGCGTGTGTGTATGTGCTTGTGCATGTGCGTGCGTGTGTGCATGTGTGTGGGAGAGTTGCTCATGCGTTTGTGCGCGTCACGTGTACAGAAGCACGCAGGACACACGACCAGCACGACCAGCACGACCAGCACGACCAGTGTACCGTTGGGGCGATCTGCCGGTGCGGGCTCGAAGATGCGCTGCTGCAGCGCCGGTGGCAGTGACGAATACAGCGGAATCACGCTCACCTGAATTGCAATGGGGCGTGGGGGATGAGAGAGAGAGAGACCGTGGCTTGGTGCAGGCAAGCGAACGCATGTGCACACTTGCACAACACGGTTTGACGCCGCAGACACAGGCGCACACCGATAGAGAGAAAGAAAGAGAGAGAGAGAGAGAGAGAGAGAGAGAGAGAGAGAGAGAGAGAGAGAGAGAGAGAGAGAGAGAGAGAGAGAGAGAGAGAGAGAGAGAGAGAGAGAGAGAGAGAGAGAGAGAGAGAGAGAGAGAGAGAGAGAGAGAGAGAGAGAGAGAGAGAGAGAGAGAGAGAGAGAGAGAGAGACGCACGCACACGCACACACACACGCACACGCACACACACACACACACACAAACACACACACACGCACACGTACACACACGCACACACACACACACACACACACACACACCGCCACTGACCGGGCCAACTTCAGAGCCGAGGGCGTCGCACTCGCGCTTGATCTTCCTGCAGGCCTCCTCAATCTCCTCCTGACCCGTCAGAAACAGCAGAATGTCGCCCCGTTCCTCCTCAACACGGTGGATCTGCACTGCCGTCCGCACAGCAGCCTGATGTAGTTGGGGGATGTGTGATGTGATGTGATGTGTTAGCGCGGTGGTGAGAGGGTGAGTTGGGTATGATGGGAATGAAGGCTTGAGCACTTGCCATTGCAGCAACCACCACGCATCCAATCACCCACCACCACGACACACCCACCATCACCACCACCACCATCACCATCACCACCACCATCATCATCACCATCACCATCACCACCACCACTGTAACCCCTTTCTTCACCTCGAGGTAGTCGCGCTCAGGCTCCTGCGTGTAGAAAATCTCCACGGGAAACGTGCGCCCGGGAATGTCCTGGTGTGGTGACGTGATGATGATGGGAAGGTGGTGTGCGATTTTTTGTTGTGACGAAGCACCAATGAGCAGGCAACACGTATGACGTGACACAACAGCAACAATAACAGCAGCAATGACAGCACAGCAACAGAAGCAGCAGCCCAACAACACCGCCCATACTACTCCCTTTCCATCACCCCCTCCCCTCTCCGACACAGCAGAGCACCGCACCATGCGGGGGCAGCTGTTGAAGTACTCCTGGAACTTGCCGGCGTCGAGCGTGGCACTCATCACCACCAGCTTCAGGTCCTCCCGCTTCGGCATAATCTGACGAGGATGAAGAGGGCGGGGGAGAGGTGATGGTGAATGGTAGGGGGTGGTGGTGAATTGTGGGTGTAGCATCAAAGGTAGGTCAGCTGACGGTGAGTGCTTGCTACGATATGCAAGAAGATGACGCGCATAAGCGCAAGCACACACACACACACATCGTCATACATCGTCATACATCGTCACGCACACACACACACACACAAACACACACACACACAAACACACACACACACATACACACACACACACACACAATCGCCCATCGTCACACACACAACTGGCCCACCTCCTTGAGGAGGCCCATGAGGATGTCTGTGGAGAGGGTGCGCTCGTGCGCCTCATCCAAGATGATGACGCCGTAACGTGACAGCAGCGGATCAGCCATCGCCTCCCGCAGCAGCATACCGTCCGTGCAGTACCTGCCGTGGAGCAAGCGGGTGGAGGTTTGGGGAGGGGGTGAATGGGGAGTGGTGTGGATGTGGTGCTTGTGGTGGATGTGGATGGGGGGGGGGTGTGTCGGGTGTGTAGGGTGGGGGATAAGGCAGAACAACGCACGCACACACACACACACACACACACATACACGCACGCACACGCACATATACACGCACATACTCACTTGAGGACGGTGTTTGGGGAGGTGCAGTCCTCGAAACGGATGGTGTAACCGACATGCTGGCCCAGCGCAATGTCCATCTCATCCGCAACACGCTGCAGCAGTCGCGCACACACACACAATATGTACGTGTATGTCAGTACAAAGACTACTTGGGGCACAAACAAGTACAACCTTTCCTTCAGCAACACTGTCAACGTTGGCCACCCACCACCAAAGAACATGCGCACCTGTGCCACGCTCATGGCGGCAACACGACGGGGCTGTGTGCAGGCCACGAGCTTGCCGGCGCGAACATCGCAGCACCACCTATGTGTGTGTGTGTGTGTGTGTGTGTGTGTGTGTGTGTGTGTTGCAAGCGCGGTGCACACGCGCACAAAGGTGCAGGTCCAAAACAGCGGCAACAAACAGAGTGGCAAGCCCTCGTAACCTGTGCCACACTGAATTACACACGTACTCTCGCACGCAAAACACACAAAACTCACTGTGGAATCTGTGTGGTCTTGCCTGGAACCAGTCTCGCCAACGAGCACCATCTCCTTGGACTTGCGCAGCATATCCAGAAAGTCGGACTTGAACTTCCACACTGGCAGTTTCATACGGCCCTAGCATAAAGATGGAAAGTTGTCGAGGTTACGTTATTGCAAGCACACGGCACGGCAAAGCAGAGCAGCCGCACGCAGATGCGGGGGGGGGAGTGGAGGAGGTGCGGCCATCACACGCCATCACACGGACACACGTGATCACTCAACCCTTCCCGCCCCCCTCGAAACACACACACAGACACACACACAGACACACCTCGAGGATGTCATGGTAGCGGCGCGAGTACGGGCGCCCCGTCCATGGGTTGGTGGTTTCCATTGGAGCGCGCTTCGTGGCGTTGTCGTCCTCGCTCCCACTGCCTGCCTTGCGCTTTGCGCTCATGCCCACTGCTCTGTGAAGGCGTGTGCGTGTGAGGGGGTTGTCTTGGTTGGATGCGTTTGCTTCCTCGTGGTCTTTGGGTGAACGCGCTCACGGCAAAATTGTCTTTGGGTCGGAAGGCAAAGCTGACGTTGACGATAACTCATGCATGATTTCCAGCAATCGTCACGAACGGATATCGCACGGCAGAAGCAGACCAACAACACGAACGAACACAAGCAGACAAGAAACGACAGAAGAGGCTAGCTCGCAAGCGACCCACACACACACACACACACACACAATACAGCGTCATGGCACTGCCATATGTTGATGACATTGAAGCCAGCAGAGAGCAGGTACACTTGTGTGTGCTTACGTGTATGTGTGTGGGTGTGTGCGTGCGTGTGTGTATGTGTGCGTGTGTGTACGCTTTGTCTGCTTGTGTTGCTTGCTTCCATCAACGCTCACCGATGACTGCTTGTGCAGGTGAATGCACTGCTGGCAGAGGAGATGGGATCCATGGGAAAGCCCTCACAGAAACAGTACCTGTCCCACCTCCCTCTTCCGAAGGCATTCCAGTTTGAAGTGAGGCCTTAAAGCGGTGGCGTGGAAATGAGGGGCTCTCAATGACTGTGCCCGTTTTGTCTCAAACTGTCGTCCTGCTTTGCATTTATCACCGCCAACCACGTCTCATCAACTCAACGCACGCACACACACACGCACACACACACACACACACACACACACACACACATTCAACGCACGATCGTTGCTGACAGCGCACATCCATGGTCAAGCACCATTTGCAGGAGATGGAGGAAGGCTCGTACAAATCGCCAGAGTTTGACACATACAGGTCTGTCAGTGGTGTCGAGTGGAAGGTGCTTTGAGGTGGCGCTTGCAAAGTGCACGCACCAGCTGTGCATGCGCTTGTTCGTCTGCACCCTCACACGCTCAACAAACAACACACAACACAATGCGCAGGTACGATCTGCCTGCGCCGAGCCAGGCATTGAAGAACGACCCAGAGGCGTGGAAGGAAAGCGTCAAGAACGCATACGCACAACTGGAGCATCAGCGAAACAGGTAAGCGCGTGTGTGTTTGCGTGTGTGTGTCTGTGTGTCTGTGTCTTGTGTCCGTCTGTGCGTGTGTGTGTGTCTGTGTCTGTGCGTGCTGAGCTGTGCTGTGCTGAAACCGGGAAAAAACAACAACAACAACAACAACAACAACAACAACAACAACAACAACAACAACAACAACAACAACAACAACAACAACAACAACGAGACCAGTGACTTTCAGCCTTGCACATACACATACAAACACAACTGTGCATCGCACTCACGCTCCGCTCTTTCCAACGCCTTCTCCTCCCCCTTCTCCCCCTCCACTTCTCCTTCCCACTCGTACAGGATCGACAACCTTGAGCTGATGACGCAGTTTGGCGGGCAAAAGTGGACCCGGTACGTGGAGCAGCTGCAGGCGCTGCAGAACCGCCTCCAGGCAGCCCTCGATGCAATCAAGTAAGTGGGGGAGTGGGGTGTGTGGGGTGGGGGGTGTGTGTGTATGTATGTATGTATGTATGTATGTATGTATGTATGTATGTGTGTGTATGTATGTATGTATGTATGCATGTATGTATATATGTATGTGTGTGGTATGTACGTTTGGGGTGCCATCCTTTCCACCATCCCAAAACTAAATATCATCTTTTTGGTCCCCCCCCCCCCCCCACCTCCCGTCTTCTCCTCCTCACCACCACCGCCAATTTGCTCGAACGCTGCAGCCAGGACATGGAGGACATCAACTGGCAGCGGCAGAACGAGCAGCAGGCCGCCGGGCAGGAGTTTTACCAGCTGGAGGTGCGCTGGGGCGAGCTCGTCGCGGCAAACTACCAGCTCGAAACAATCTGCAGAGCCATCGAGGTGCGCAGGGGACGTGGAGACGTGTGTGTTTGTGTGTGTGTGTGTGGGGGGGGCATGGGTGTTTGTTTTTGTGTGTCTGTGTCTGTCTCCGGCATTGCGGTCTGCGAGTTTGTCAAATGTGCGATTCTCACTGTAAGTTCACACACACACGCACGCACGCACGCACGCACGCACGCACACACACACACACACAAACACACACACACAACGTACAACGTACAACGCACGTCTGTGGCAGCAACAACAACCACAGCAGGAGGAAGCGGCAAAGGAAGAGTGATGAAGGAAACGATGAAAGTGACGCGCATGTGTTTGTCAACGGTGGAAGTAAAGCAACAACTGAAGCGATCAAAGGAAAGAACAGGTGTGACTGGTGATGATGGTAATGGGGCGAACAGGAAGAGGCACGCATGGGAAGCAAGAGGCACGCCACGCAGGAGCAGGTGTGCAACAAGGGAACCAGCAAGCGACACACAGACACATACACACCTAGACGCGCATGCACATACACACACACACACACAAAGCCCGAGACGCACACGCACAGACACAGGCACGCACACACACACACACACACACACACACACACACACACACACACACACCAAGATGCACGTGTAAGTAAGTGCTATGGTTTAGGCCTCCGCCTCAGGGATTCGAGCACAGCCTTGTGTTCGGATTGACGAAAGGGCACATTGCAACGCTTCAGCGTGGGGAAGAGCCACCGCTTCAACACTTCCACGGGTGTGAGGATGCCGCGCTCTTGTAGGTCTTGCGGCTCGACAGCACGAGACAACTCGCGCGTGAAGCACGTGAAGCACGTGTCAAACTTCCTGACTTGCTCGGATGAGGAGTGCGTTTCGACGCTGTGCATCCCCTTGCTGCTACTGGGAGACATCTTGGCGCCGCCGTCGCCTAGAAGGGCATCAAGCCGCTTTTGCATTATCTGCTGCAACTCGGCCTCGGAACGAAGGGGTGTCTTGAGATTGGGGACAACATTGCAGTCAATACAGTGGTCAACGATCAGCGTGAGTAGACGTGGGGAAGGGTGGTTCATGAATAGCGCATGTTTGTGCCAAGTGCAACGCTGACTGGGCAAGCAGAGTCTTACCGATGGGCCAAGAACAAGAAAGTCATCGTAGCCATCGAACCCATCGTCCTCATCGTCACCACCATCACCATAATCAGCGGCACCATCATCATCATCATAATCACTGTGCTCAGCAGCCGATGTGCACGCCTGACGCCTCGCATCGTCTGGCAAAAGCGTGGTGCCATCCCGATCGTCATTGTCTTCTTGTGTGTGCACGAGAAGAAGATCAGCTTTGTTGAAACACAGCAATACCGGAATCTGAAATCATTTCCGCATTCCAAGGCGTGAGTTGGGCAGGGGCGTCAAAATTGAAAAGAAGATTGTCTCCAGTGTTTCACAAACTGGTGCACAAGTCCACATTCTTCCCTTCAACGCAAGGTCAAAGGTGCGTACTCACACACACGCAGGTTCACGCACACACACACACACATGCAGGTTCACGCACACACACACACACACACACACACACACACACACACACACACACACACAGCACACACGCACGCACACACACACACACACACACACACACAGAGCATTCACAATGCAGCACGTACGTCGTGTTTGAGCGCCATGAGGAAGGTTTCCTGGACACGCATGGTGTTGGACTTGTCCGCCTCAACCACGAAAATACAAGCGTCCAAGATGGAGTAATGGGAAGAAAACGCGTCGCGGACCTGCCATGTACGCGTGAGGTTCCAATGAACATCAGCAACTCAACTCCAAGCCGCCGTCACACAACGTGCGACACTCGCGGCCCACATTCAAGCGCCCAACAGCAAGGATTAATCGTATCAACGCAACGCCGCATGCTGCCAGGGCTCTCACCGCCACGCCGTCGAAGCCCTCCCCACCAAGTCCCCCAACCCCGTTTCCCTCAACAACTTTCTCTCGTCTATCTTTACCGCGTGATTGACATCGTCGTTGCCGGGGAAATCCACAAACACAATGTGCTTGACCTGTGGCCACTTGTGGAATTGAATGCGCATGGTGTTGATGGCAGAGTCTGCAACGGCCTTGAAGTTGAGGCGGGACAGAAGCGTGCTCTGCATGGCAGCGAAAAGTCATGCCCACAGGACAACCATAAGAACACAACGCAACTCTTTGAGAGAGCGATAGCCGAACACTAAACCAGACACAAGAACACGCAGACAGGCGCACATTCAGACACCTACACCCATACCTACACCCACACTCACACCCACATCCACATACACATACACACACCCACACCCACATACACATACACACATACGCAAGCAAACAGCACGACAGACACCGCCTGACGACCATAACAGGGTACATGTCACACCTTGCCCGTCTTTGTCGTCCCCACGATGCCAAACATGAACGTGTCTGCGAGAATGGTCCTGAGGCGATAAATCAGCCAAACGTCACGGAGAAACATGAGCGCCCGTTTGCGTGCAGTGGCGTCGTCACTGATGTCGTACAAGGGCCCCCCTGACCGAACTTTGGAGAAGTACTTCAGAACAAAGTCATCTGTGACGAGGTCAGCTGGCTCAAAGGGATGACCAACGACCGCCTTCATCTTTTGCGCAATACCCTTGGTCACAATGGCCTTCTCAGCGAAGTACATTGGTTCGCTGGGAACGTCCTCCGCGTCGAGTGTCAGCAGTCGTAGCATAAGCTGGGTGGAAGACACGCACGCATGCATGGAGCAAGAGCGAGGGTGGTGAAGGGGCAATTGAGATTCAGATTTGACGTGCATCCAGCAAACACCATGTACCAGGAACAAAAACAAGAACAAAGCTAGAAGAGCAGTAACAACAATAACAGCAGCACCCAAGCATAGCTACAACAACGTGCGCACACATACACACGTCAACTAAAGCAAAGCACAGCACCTGGACATTCTTTTGGTATTCAATCTGGTTCCGCTTAATCGTGTACAGCACCCCACTGCTGCACAGAGCTGTAGCTGCGCCAACTCCCTGGAGCAGGAAACTTGGTTCGATCACGACTAGAGATGCTGTGCCAACGGACCCAAGAGCGACAAGGCCAATACCAGCAGCCACGAAAGAAGCCGCTACCATCGCGGTCAACCCCGATCGCACAGCAATGTCGGGGAAACCGGTGCGGGCAAGTACTTTTCGCGTTGATTGGGCGGTGAGTTTCACGGCTTCATGAGCGGTCAGCGCAGCATCCGATTGAAAGGCCTGTGGAACGTCACGGTAGCGGTGGATCTTGCTGGGGGCGTCTTCTTTCGTTGCCTTGTCTGTACGAGCGTTCTGCAGCACTAGCCATCATCAAACGCAAGAGCACACGCATAGATGTGAGAATGTACACGCGTATGAGTCGGTACGCCCAATACACTGATTCAGTTCAACAACGGTGGCCACCCACTATTCACACACACACTCAAAGGAGTACAAATCACCTGCGTTGAGCGCTGTTCTGAGATGGTCGGCCACAAAGGTCTGGAGCGTACTTCGAGCAGGTTCCGCAGGAGTCCTGTCCTGGCTTTCACCCGGAGTGTGTGCTGCCGTGGCCGGGATTGCCTCCCCTGTTGTTGCTTGATTTTTGGACTGCTCCGACGCCACTGAAGACATAAGCACCTCTTCAGAGGCAACAGCGCTTGCATTTTTGGACAGCCACCGCTCGGCAGGCGAGGAAATGGCACCAGACTCCAGCTGCGTGAGAATGTCAAGCACCTTCTCTTGCTGCATCTGATCGTGCGAGAACAGCGTCAGTAAGACAGCCTGGAGTTTTGCGTGTGAGTGTGTGCGCACGTGTCAATGGATGGCGACTGCTTTTCAGTGGCGCACTTGATCATACCAGCGCGCGCACACACACACACACACACACACTTTTACACACACACACACACACAAGCAAACAAGGTGCATATTCACTCGCTCCCACCACCATGTTACTGGCACGCAGTCGTGCAACAAGACAGGGCAGATGCACATCTGACAGCATCCACGTACCTGATTTATGACCTCGTCGCGTGGAAGTTTTGCGACTGCAGACAGCTTTCCAGACATGGGCAGGTCGGAGAGCTGTGTGACATCCACCATGATAGTGGTTGGCCGGGTGCTGAATATTGTGTGGAACCGAACCTCAAAAACCGAACGCGCAAGCTCCTTCTTGCATGTGATTGTGACTTCCAGCCTCTGGCAATGCTCGAGGTACAAGGGGAAGAACTGACGCCCAAATTCGTCAAGGGAGCTCGTTACGTGTGTCACAAATGCAAACCCCTTGCCTGTAAAAGCAAGGTGGTGCTGCTGGTGACTGGGTGTCGAGGTTATGCTGGAATGAAGAGGCTGAAATTCCATCTTCTGAGGCGCAGAGAAGTCGGGGTTGTCGACCTTCAGGCTCGGCAGCGCTTCGCCCTGTTGCGGATACCAGGCGCGCCGGTTCGTGAGCTGACAGCCTTGTTGGTAATGCATGAGCATGTGGTACTGCAGAAGCCCTGCGTTGAGGTTCCGTAGCGACGTGCTCTTGAAGAGCGCCTCACGAATGCTTTCTGGTTCGGTGTGTGGAACCCAGTCTTCGCCTTGGCGAATCAGGTACGTGCCAAAAGCAGAGTAGTTGCACTGGATGCTTGTCCTGGCTAGGGCCTGAAGACAGGAAGCAAGCTTGGACCATAAGTTGGAGTCCGATGGCCCAGGCAGCATGGACATCAACCCGGGTAAGCGCATTTGTAACTCTGCGCCAATTTTGGGGAAGACTTGCTCAAGAGAAGAGGCAGCCTGCTGCATCGATTGCCACGACCAAATCGCTTGGTCCTCTGCAGGCTGGTCAGCTGTTGCTTGCGCATGCGCGGGTGTCGCCTGCTGCGGTGCACTGGGCTGGAAGGTTTGTTTGAGAATCGCCTCGGTCAAGCGCTGTCGCTCCATGGACTTTGACCCGCCTTCAAATGCGCGTGTGAGCAGCACGAGCACGCGAGGAACAATGTCCGCCTTGTTCACATAGAACCGGCAGTTCTTCCGCGCCACGTGTGTATGCCCGAACTGCTTCTCAAACTGGGCAGCAAACTTGTCGTCGCCGACGAGAGGGGCGCCAAAGGCGGCAACGTGCACGTTCTGGCGAATGCAAAGCTCATCGCAGCGAAGAAGAACACGGAGTGCCACCAGCTGAGCAAGTGCACCGCCGAGAGAGTGGCCGCAAAACACCAAGCGGTGTCGCTTGTTCGCCTTGGTGTCACGCAGCAGGTTGAGAAAGGGCTCAATAGGAATCGTCTCTGCCACTTCCAAAAACCCAAGGTGCACATTTCCTTCGATGGCATCTCGCATTGGGGGTCTGGCAAGGGCCTTCATGTCAGTCATGACGTGTTGCAGGGTTTGGGTGTTTTGAAAGCAGATGTACACCGGCGTCGTGCTTTCGCCGTTGAGTGCGTCGTCGTCGCCAATCGCGACAATGAAGTGGTGGCTGCTTGCTGCGTTTGCTGTGAAAGCAATCTGTTTCAGTTGGTGGTACCCATTCCGAGAACCTAGTGCCTTCTGCACATGACGCCGAATCGCAACGTCTTCGTTGCCGCCTCCATTGTTGAGGCATTCGGCCAAGAGTAGGCACATGTCGTCATCTCGACGGTGAATGATACTCGGAAGTAGCTGTGGGCTTGGCCTAAACACCAGGGTTGCGTCAAGGCCTCTCACTGAATGAAGAGAACAGGCAAGGTTTCGGTGAGAGCAGGGCAAACGCAATCACCGCATGGAGGGCCGGGGGATGGATCAGTTCATCATCTCCAACAACACCCACAGGCACAGGGGTTGCAGGTCTTGTTTCAAGTAGGTAAATTGGCACCGACTTACGCCTCTGGGGATGAGACTGAAACTGCTCCATGAGTTGCGACGGTGTGATGCCTCTTTCGACTCTTGGGTGCGCTCCCGTGAGTACAACTTGTGCAACGCCTTGTATCACGATGGCAACGAGGTGATGGCCGGGGCGAACACCAGCTTGAAAGAGCTGTGATCCTGTCACGCATATCAGAGGATGGAGCATAGCATGAATGGCATGAGAGCAGACAGGGCTTGAACATTGAAGGTGCAAAGGGGGAAGGGGGGAGGGGGGTGGCTTCTACTGTCAAGAGTGTGGGGGAACGCGATGCAGGGGGCAAATTGCAGCCACACAATCACATCGATCAGTTTACACGCAATGTCAGCACAAGGATATGTTTGAGAAGGGTACGGACGTGTCAGAGTATTGAACCGTCCAATCACTCCCATGTGCACTTGTGCATGGGTGGGAGCACTGGGCCCAGCGATCAACGAACAACACTGGAGCAACAAGGCACCAAGCACCACGTCAAGCTCAGCACCGCTTCGTTCACCGTCTCCGCCTCATACTCTCCAAATACCTTGACGAAGAAACGAAACATAGTGACCGCCGCCTTCGCTCTGTTCTGCTTCGACGAGGCCAAAGGTGGCAACAGCAGCATAAAGGTCGGACACAACCACCTCGACACTCGCTTGAGAGGCAGGTGGATCCATTGACATGCTGGTGGATTGCTCTTGGTCTTTGGGATTGATTTGTGACCACGCAGTAGGAAAGGGGCGACTCGGGCTTGAGTAAGGCTGCAGCGATGTGGGAGAACTGAAGGACAAATGGAGGTGGGATGAGGGTCTGGTGGGGGAGTGAAGGAGTGACGGCTGAAGGCTTGACGGTGAGACACAGTCGAAAGAAGACTCGACGAAGACTCGA